TTCCCCAGTACCACTGTCCAGATCTGAGCCTGGTGAAGGGTAAACCAGGGCACATAGCAAAGGTTATCAGGGAGACGAAGGCAGTTTCTCTGTGTGGTATAGCCACCTTCCCACCTGGACCTTCCCAACTTTCCTGTTTCCCAGGAGAGGTACCAGAGGCTCTCTGTCAACTTGTTTCCCTAAAGTTGAACCAGATGCCTTGAGACCTCTAGTTTGACCAAGACTTTGAACATTGGCCGTGGTCTGGCCTCTGGGGCTAGAGTCCATCCCACCTTTGTGGACTCTGGCTGAGAGACTGGGGCACCTGTCCAGGGTCACACAGCAAGCTAGTGGCAGGCCAGGCTCCTGCACACCCTGCTGTCCAATCACAGCAGTGAGATGACAAGGATGTACGTGCCACCATCCAGCCCTCTACCATTAGGTGCCTCAGGCCAAGAGGAGGCCGGGTCACTGAAGTGGCGGGTCTTCCTGCCAATGTGTCTCAGCATGCGCCCCCAGACCCTGCTGCCTGTCAGGGAGGAGTGGTCTCCAGAAGCCTGAGCACCTGTGTGGTGTGCCCAAGGGACAGGAGCTCACAGCCCCTGGGGACTGGACTGTGGGCTTTCTCAGGGCTGAAACCACCCTTGACTCCTAGCCCCATGCCAACCCTGACACCAAACCTGAGTCACAGGGCCACCCTCCATGTTCTGAGATAATACGGCAACTTCACTCAGTCACACTTGCTGACCTCCAGCCTGTTGTGGCCCCAAGTGGTGGAGTGGCCCAGGACTCCTAGGGCCAGGGAGGGGGTGGGCAGGGCGGTGGTGGCCTCTGTGCTGGTTGCAGGCATAATCTGAAGCGTCACAGCTTGGCAAGGTCTGTCCATGGTAGACAGTGCAGGCTCTGTAGGTCTGGCCTGGGCCACATTGTGTTACAGCTTGATACCTAATTGTGTTCCAGAACAATCCATCTTTGTCTTTCCTGGTTTGGTGAAGGAGCCCACAGTCTGAGAGGTTTAAATTGTAGGAAGCTGTTTGGATTGTGGGTTAATCCCACTCACTTCCAATAAACTGTTCAAATGATTAGGTTAGGGTAGGACCTGAGGGTGGAGGATCAGAGCACAGAGGCACTTCAGGACCCAAGTGCCTGTGGATTCACTACAGGCAGGGCCTTGTGCCCTGGGGAGTCAGGGCATTAGTAGTCAAGGAGGGCTCCAGTGGTGCCACGGAGGCACTGGAGCATGTGTGAGGGGCCCTGCAGGCCAGGCGAGGGGCTTCACTTTGAAGTCAGGTAGTTCTTTGCTGATCTGGAAGAAGCTAGGAGTTTGGAGATGCCCTGGTCCTTGTGGGCCCCCCATCTGGTCCTGGTCCCCGGAGCCACTCCCCAGGGCTGACACTTTGTGGCCACACTGAGCCCTCAGGGCAGTGGGTTGAATTAAACTTCAAGCTCCCCAGGAGCTGTAGTAGAGACCAAAGGAGGGAGGACCTGGGGAGAGGGGTCTGGGCAAAGATCAGATTTGAGTTCTGAAGGACACAGAGAGACGTCAGGGCAGTAGCAAGCTGCACAGATCTTGATGGGGTTCCTACTATGTGACTACTCGCACTGGAGCGGGTAGCACTGGGGCCATGAGGTGGGTTTCCCACTCGCCCTCCTAGGCCGCTCCTCTTGGGAGACCGCTGGGCCCTGGTTATGGTGCCACCTATCCCAGCCCCCTGCCCCTTCCAGTCCATCAAGGCCCGGGGAGACTGGACTCTGTCACCAGCGTTTCCATGCCCCAGCTTTATTGGAGCAGCAGGTGCTAATGCATCAGTTACAGGAATATTTCTTCAGGCACAGCCCCTCCATTACCACCTTCAGCCTCATCTGCCAGCCCAGGGCCGGTACCCCCACCCATTCCAGACGTCAGTTGTTCCTGATGCTCCTCCAAACCCATTTTCTGCAGCTTTAACCATATATACCAGGCTCCCATGAGAGGACAGGGTCTCAGAGGCTACCCTCAGTCCTATTACATGATTTCCATACTTCTATGTACAGAATAACACTCTTTAAGGCTTCCTTGAACTGTGCGAAATCACTGTACTCAGAAGTACAGTTCTTGGATGATCCTGTTGGCTAAAAAAGAAACATATATTTAAGTCATCGCAGCAGAAAAAATAAAAGGGTCACTTGGTAAACTCCCCATCTGCTAGGAGGTAACTTAGCCTCTGTCCTAGGGAGGGCACTGGGGCCCATTTGCTGATTGTGGAGCCCAGAGCCATGGGGAAAGAGTCCGCGGAGTGTGGGCAGGTCACGGCTGCCTAGGGCAGGGACACAAGGATGAGCAGGGGCCTGTGCAAGCACTGGGTAAAGAGAGGGGAACACCTCAGTCATTTCCCCACAGCACCCCCGCTCCCCAACCCCTGCCTGACTGGGATTGGCATCACGTGGCCCTTTCCTCTCCCCAGGCTGAGTCCATGACCAGACCTGTCTCAGACCTACTCCTCACTGACCCCTGTACACGGGGGCTTGGCAGAGAGCATGACAAACCTCCAGAACGACCCCCGAGTACCCCCTCCCACAAGCCCAGCCCCCATCGGCCAGTGGGCTTTTGAATTGGAAAGTAGTTCCCGAGGCCTCCGATGCAGCAAGCAGGGGCCATAAGAAGCCCTTTGCCCTGCTGGACCTCTGGCTGTAGCAAGGAAAATAATGTGTCAGGTTCCCCCAAGAGCCAACAGCAACTTACTTGAAGCTTTGTGCAGATTTGGGTAAGGTATTTCATGTTCTTATAAACCTTTTGCAGGTGTTCATTCTTGTTACCTTTTATGAGATTCTTCAGAGTGGAGATGAAGTCCTTTATAAACTCCCCATAGCAGGACTCCTGAAACAGGGTTGGGGCACTGGGATGATGGTGGTGCACAGCACCAATTGACCGCCAACCTCATCCAACCCTTGTCACCCTGGCCAGAGGAGCCCTGGGCTCAAATTCAGGCCCTGCCCTGATCCTTTCACAGGAGACCTCTGAGCACTGTGAGCTGTGCAGTGGGTGCTTGGTCTCTCCCCAGGCCCAGGGCTGATCTGGGATGGTGATCAGAGAGCCTGGCAAAGCCCAGGACCTGGCCATGGCTTCATCTGTTGGCTGGGCTGGAGGCTCCATCCTCAGACTCTCAGCTTTCTCCCCAGATTTCTCTCTCCAACATCTTTTCTTTTTATCTCTTCCCTAGATGCCGACTGGGGTGATGGCCTTTGAAATGTGGTCAGAAGGTCCATGTGGTAGCTGCTCCTTACCTCACTGGTGTTCTGGGGCCTTTTGAAGTAACCCTGGAAGCAGGAAAAGTTGGTCAGAAGCACAAAGGACCACTGAAAGCCAAGTGATGTTTGATGAAGACCCAGACTTACGTTGTATGTAGTGTTGTCAGCCGAAAGGTCCTTCTGAATCTCAGCACAGACTGCCGTGTGATTGTCGTAGGGAGGCCCGCTGATTATCTTCATCCGGGTGGAATGGCTTTCCAAGCCCCAGAGCACACAAGCCAGGAGCACAAACAGGTACATGCTGTAACTTAAGAGCAGCTCTGATCCGATCCGAGCCCTGGGCTTGGTGACATTTCTGTGGGAAGGGCTACCTATATATGTGGGTCTAAGGAAATGCTAAATCTCTTATCAGTCATAACCGCCTTAGGTAGAAGATAGAGAGGACCTTATCGCCAGGCAAGATGTGCTTTTCGTGCATTTTATATGACCACAGCACACTTCATGGATTCTTGTCTTTGTTGAAATGCAGGTTTGGTTCAAGAAATGTTATTCATACTCACATTTTGAGTCATGACCCTTCTGCCTGTGTGTGGGGCAGCGCTTTGGCCAGGACTGGCTCTATCTGCAGGTCTGACCAGAGCACAGAGAGTGGATGAGGTGGAGAGAGAGCCAGCAGGGGCTAAAGCTGCACCAACCCAGCTTCCCCAGGCCCACCTGTCGGGGAGAAGGCTGGCCCTGCTCCCACCTGACACCTGGGACACACCCACTTTCTCACAGTCCACAGTAGGGAGTTGGGGGAAGAGGTGCAGGAACAAGTCTCCAGCCCTGCTGGCAAAGCAAGGGGGGAGATGACAGCTGCTATGTTCTCATCCAGACGGTCATGTATTTTAGGAGAAAGCACCTGATACAAAACTTCATGCACCAACATTCTGACTCTCAAAGATGAAGATCACCCATTTTGGGGAAAGTTTGGTAAATATGCTGAGCACTGATCCCTATGGTTTGGTTTCTTCTCCCCAGAACAGGTAGGCTACCTGCTGGTTTCCCTTAGGAGTGGTGAAGTCCTGACCATGAGGCAGGGTGTGGCCTCTGAGGGGCACGGGTGGTTTGCCTGATGCTAGGGGGCCTGTCTAGTCATCGCCTAGCCAAGCCAATCAACCCCCAGGCCTGCCCAGGAAGGAGGATGCCCCTTCTCTGGGGCAAGTTTCCCACTGACTGAGTACCTTGGATTTTTAAGTGAACCTGGAAACCTCTCCCTGGGATGGGAGCCCCCGTGCATCCTGGGAAGCACATGCAGGTGTGCTGAGTGCTGCACCCAAGGCTCTCTCCCCTCCCCTCTGCTCTGACAGTGCTGTCCACAGACAATGCTAGACCTGCTGCAGGCCTAAGCCCCTGCCCCCCACCAGTAACCTCCCCTCTACCCTGTAGGGAGGGCAGCACCACTAGCATTTGCTCCTGGCGAAAACAAACTACAAAACTGCACAAATAAGAACAGAATTTTAATAATTTATTATTATGGTAAAATATCTTGAATAAATATGAAGTAGGAGCATAAATAAATAAATAAATATTAAAATACATAAATATATAAATAAATATTAATGGTCCCTGCCAGTGTAAAAATCCTCCACCCAGATATGGGTCAGCACGACTCAGCGCAAGTCTGTGGCCCCATGGCCTGGCTCATCCTGTGGTCCCTCCAAGGTGAAGATCCTGAGTTTCAGCTCTTTGTGGGTAGGAGGACACCGATCTGCGAGGTAAGCTCTCAGGGCTGGCTCCTGGACTGGCCTGCCTCACTTCTGGACTGGCTTCCAGCAGTCAAAGGGGGTGATAAGTAGAAAATCATTCAGGTTCTCTTTGAAAATTTCGAAAGTGGTGTTGTGGATTGCACAGGAAGTTTCCTTTAAGAGAAAAAGAAAACTTGAGTCTAGGCGTGAGTGGGTAATGCGGGGGGGAGCACCAGCGTATTTATGTGTCTCTTAGGACTCAGAGGTCAGAAGGCCCGTCTGGGGCCTGCCTGCTTACTGGACCAGGTGACATGTGTGTCACCCGAAGTTGGGACCAGGGACCTGACAAAGTGCTGGAGGCTGGTCTGCTGGACAGTTGGGCCACTGGCTCTTTGGTCCCAAGCCAGGACAGAGCAGCTTGGCTGAGGCTGGCTCCAAACACCCAGAAAGGGCAGGAAGACACAGCTCTGTTCCCACAAGAAAGAAATGGTTGGACTTTGTACATCCTGATATGCTTCCATCCTTGCTCCCATGCAGTCCAGGAACCCCACCAGGGTCCAGGGGAAGGTCCCGTCGGGGAGGCGGCACTTGGGCTCCGGAATTTCCTCTCTATCTTTTCCACCCATGCCTGACACTGAGTTTCCTTGGGATTGCCTCACCGTGACAAGAGCAGAGAAGCTGCCACTAGGGGGCGCTGTGGACTCTGGAGCTCCAGACTTGAACTCCTTGAGCCTGAAACAAGGGCTGGGCTGCTCTAATTACAAATCTGTTAACACAGATTCCCTTTGGTGTCCCGAACAGCCACACCCAAAGGTCTCCCCTCCGCAGTCCTCCATCCTCCTAGACCAAGACCTTCCCGTTTGGGGCCCTGACACAGGCACTTACCAGGGTAGGGGGGCAGTGCTGCCTGTAGTGGCTGGCTATCAAGGTCAAGGAGCCCTTGAGCCTGGTGAGGCTGCCCCGAAGGCCCTTCGTAAACACCTCCAGGCGGGTCTGCAGGCATGTCGGCTCCTATGGAAAATGTCCAGGACTTGGTAAGCAGTGGCCAAGTGCCCTCCCCGTCACTCCGTGTTCTCATCCCTGTCCCCTGAGAGTAGAGCCTGGGAGGTCCGAGCTAGTCTCAGGCAGGTCCAGTCATATATGCTGCCCTGCCCCCTGTCCACTGCAGGCACCAATCTGCCTCCACCTCACCACTCAGCTCAGGCACCCTCAGCCCACACAGCCTGGCATCTCAAGAGGGTCCTAGCCCTTAGGAAAGGAGGTCACTACCCCACTTTTCAGGGAAAAGGGGGCAAAGGGGGCAGGGCATCGCCTGGACCCCTCTGTAGCCAGCACTAAGCCCACAGTCCCTGCTTACCCACCTGTCCCTGGTGACCCCTGGCCCCTTGAATGCTAGGTTTGTCCATGGCTGCTCAGATAATAAGGCAGCTCATGTGACTGCCACAGAGGCAAGGCCAGTGCCTTCTGAGCACACCTCCTTCTGGCAGCCAGCTTACTGGAGGGGAAGTGGACCACCTTGTGAGAATCCATCTAACATGGAGCCACCCTCTCCCCCAAAGGCAAAGGTCTCTGGGAAGGTGAGTCAGAGAAGAGCATCTTACCTGGGGGTTAAACACTTCAGAGATGACTTCTACTGTTTCATCCTATAGAAAAGGAAAATGCAGTGTTATGAAGCTGACAGGAAGGGCTCGTCCAGGCCAGGGGGTTTGGCCCAGGCACAACCCTCGTTCCCTCACTCACCATCACAGCAGCAGGGTCATTGCTCCGTTTCAGAAGGCTCAGGGCTTCGTTAATGGCTTCCACATGTAGAAAGGGCCGGGTGACGGGGCTGGGTGGGTGGGTGGGTGCGGAGATACTGCAAACCACAGTGCCCAGGAACAGCAGGTTCTGCAGCCACATCCTCCTGAGGACTTTAGCCTTTCTCTCTGAATACTGGGCTCACTGGCAAAAGAGCTTTTATATGCAGCTAGAGGAAATGATTAATGGTGACCACAAAACTCCAGGGAGGTGGGGGAACTACCTGAACTGTGGAATCTCCTGGCTCTTATCAGCTTCACGTGGGAAAGGTGAGCCTTCCCCCAGGTGGTCACCATCAGGGGTTTTCATTAATGAGCTCTTCCAAGAATTTGCAGCCCACCCACCAGCCTCCTTGAGCACGCTCTAGACCTCCCTAGGCGGTCTGGCAGCCCGCTGAGCCTACCCCCTCCATCTGAGGGGCCTTCCAGCACAGCTTGGACTTCCTGGCCTGGAGTGGCCGGAGGAGTCTCTGGGAGACACTGGATCTAGCTACTACTCCCAAGCTCCCCATCCTGCCTGTTATCCCAAGAGGCATTTGGGCTGGCTGTGCCCACCCTGATGTCCATTCCAATCCCAGCCTCCCCTTCACCCCCCTGGAGCCCTCTCCTATGACCACAGTGAGAGATTTGAGTGTGAGGAGGACTCTCACTGCCCCACTCTCCACCAGGCAGATTCCAGCCAAATTGCTCACCTCAGTTCCAACCGAGGACCCAGAGCAGTTGATAAGCTCTGCTCAGCCAGGGTCCTCTTCCCTACAGACCCTGTGAGCAGAGGAAACGACAACCATGCAGCTGCTCTGTTCTTGTCAGAGGTGAGGCAAACCCAGCGGGACTGCGGAGGGCTCCTTCACGGTGAGATCCCGTCGGACAGCCAGGCCTGGCTTAGCCCACGGTGAACCCCGCAGCTGCAGAGGTGAGCTGGGGCTCTCAGCTGGAGTGGGACCCTGAGCACGAATCCTGGCTCCAGCACACCTGGTTGAGTGACTCTTCCCTCAGTGCCGAGAGCCTCACCTCCCTCTGAGGTGGGCAGGGCTCTCCTACCTAGTCCCCGCAGGCACCAGGAGCTTCTGGGGCTGGCGGTGGGGTCGCGGCTGCGTCCACACCAGGTCCAGGGAACAATGTTCTCTCTAACAAGGTCTCCCAGGCTTAATTTCCTACATGGCCTCCAGCTCCAGGGGCCTCTCCGTGGAACAGGAACTGTTTCTGGAAAAGCCACAGGCTCTTGAGGGGCTGACAAGTGTTTGCTTTTCACAATGGAGTTTGGAGAGGATAGCACGAGGTTAGTTTTGTGGGTTTTTTTCCAATTAAAGTATAGTGGGCATATAATATTGTATGAGTTTCAGATGTACAAAAGTGATTTGACATTTACATGCCTTATGATGGGATCGTAACACTAAATCTAGTACCCGTTTGGCAACACACAAAATGATTGTGATATTGACTGTATTTCCTATGCTGTACATTACATCCTGTGACTTACTTTATAACTGAAAGTTTGTACCTCTTATTTCCCTTCACCTTTTTCATTCACCTCCCCACCACCACCCAGGACAGCATGCATTTGTGTTTGCTGCCCACACTGAGTTTCATGGCCGTGGGGGTGTGGGTCCACATGTATACATTTCTGGGTGTCTGTGTGCCCATGTGGTTGGATGTGTCTGTAAATACAGGTGATGGGGGTGTAGATTTTATAGGCGGTCATCTGTGTGAGCCCCCATGCCATGCCACTCTGATATGGGAGAAGCTCCCCACACGGGTGTGATGTTTCTGGGCCCCAGGGGCTGATTTGGCCTAGACTGATGGGATCAGACACAAGCCAGAGCAACATGCGGGACTAAGTGGGCAGCCCTTGACAGCAGGTAGAACTCATGGTCTGAGTACTGTGGCCCTGGAAAGTAACTACGCGACGGGAGGGTTGCTACCCTTGCACGGGAAAGCCAGGCCTTCGTCCTCCGGACCCCATTGGGTTCCTGCCAGATTCTGGGGGCCACCATGAGGCCAGCCCTGCCTTTCTGACCCTGGTGTAACATCCTAGAGGGCCAGGCTCGGGGGGAGAGTGTGGCATGTCTAGGCCCTGGCCCTTCTTCCTCTGAGGCCTCTGCTCAGCCCTTTCCAAGGAGCTCTCAGGGGGCACAAGGGGAATCAAGGACACTAGACGCCACAGAGTGGAGGTCTGTGTCAGACAGAGCCCCGGAGGCTCGGTGGTGGGGAGTGGGGTCCACAATTCGCGACTAAGCTGGTGACCAGGGAGGCAGAGAGCTGGTGTAATCCCTCTGAGATGGAAGGTCACTTTTCTCCAGGAAATGAGTTGATAGTTAGTCAACAGATTTGTCCAATCAGCACCAGGCCCTGTTCTGGTGGGAGGTGGATGGGACTTTCCCACTGGTCCTCACATCTGGCCCTGAGGACCTCCCAATCTGGTGAGGGAGACAGACAGCAGTGGACACTCCCATTGTGTAGTGCAGGCTTGTGGGGGGGCGGGGAGTTCAGAGCTGAGGAATCCCCAGGAAACCAGGTCTCCCAACTTGGGGGTCCAAGGGCCAGAGAGCTTCCCAGGAGATGCTGCCTCCCACCGCACCCTGAAAGGACAAGCAGAGTAGGTGGGCCAGTCAGGTTGGGGGGGGGCGGTGAGGAGAGGGGGGAAGTCCTTAGGGCACAGAGAAGCAGCGGGTTTTAGGAGCAGGTGTGGTTAAGATGAAGCAGGCTCCAGAGAGATTTAGAAGGTAGAATTGTGATAGGACATGGTGGTGTAACGGACTCATTCATTCAGTATTTACTGAACACCTACTAGGTTCCCAGCAAGGGGGGATACAAAATGGTGGAAAACCGACAGGGTCCTGCCTTTATGGACTTTGTAGCCCTGTCGATGAAGGAGCAAGATTAATCTACTCACCCCCCTCCCCAAAGGTGCTTCTGGATATAAGTAAGAAGAGTTAGGCCCAGCCGGCATGGCTCAGTGGTTGAGCATCCACCTATGAACCAGGAGCTCACGGTTCAGTTCACAGTCAGGGCACATGCCCGTGTTGCAGGCTCAATCCCCAGTGTGTGGGGGTGTGCAGGAGGCAGGCGATCAATGATTCACTCTCACTGATGTTTCTATCGCTCTCTCCCTCTCCCTTCCTCTCTGAAAAAAAAATGTTATATAAAAAGAGTTAGAACCACTGTCTAAGTGCCTAAGTTGGGGACCCAGGGGACAAAGGAGTGGGTCTGCAGGGTCTATGGGCCCATGAAAAGGTTTAGTAGGCAGCATGTGCAGGGCCAGACCTGGGTCCATGTCCAAGCGGTCACTAAGGCCACAGAGGGCCATTCAGGAAGAAGGGCTGACTGAAGGCCGGAAAAGAAGCAGGGGCCTGATAGCTGGTCAAAGGGCTGCCAGTGGTCAAGGCCCTGGGCAGGCAGGACAGGAGGGAGCACAGGAGCCATTGCAGAGGTCTACGCCCACAGTGTGCCCTATGGGCGCCAAAGTCAGCACGCAAAGGATAGAGGCCGGCTATGGGTTTGGCGCTGAGGTTCGTGGGCAGCCACATATCTTTCTTCTGGAAAGATGACATCAGGGCTGAGGCCATTACACGGGCAGGCATTCCTAGATTGCACCGCATGGAAAGTGGCAGTGATACCATCTAGCGGGTGCACTGACTCAGGGGCCCCAGTGGGACTGTGGGAGGGTGGGGGCAGGACCATGATGGGTAGGCAGTGTGACTCCTCTTTGGCCCCCTTACACCAGGGCCAGGAGAAAACCCTCTGGAAGGATTTTTTTTAATGAATTTCCCTCCTACAGGTTCTAGAGGAAACGGGCTTGTAGCTACCACAGGATCCTTATCACAAAGGAAGCTATCATAAGGGGAAGGAAACAGGCCTCCAAGTGCCTTGTGTCCCGTGGGACCTCTGCACAGGCATCTCAGCTGCCCTCACTCTCCCTGGGCCTGCCACCCTTTGGTGGGGTCTTGGTACTGGTGGCCCTCCCAGTCCACACGGTCAATGGTGCAGACAGTATTTGAGCCTATATCCATCCCTGCTTCCCCAATGTCTTCTACTCTCTCAGGGATCAGAAAACCAGGAAATGCTGGTCACCTGGCTAGACCAGCAGAGGGACGTCCCCCTAAGGACAGCTGTAAAGGGAGACTGCTGCAGGTGTTGGCAGAGAAACAGTGGCCTGTGACTGTCCCAGGGAAGCCCAAAGGCAGAATTTCCACAGCAGAGCCTGCCACCCAGGCTTCTCTCTGTCTCAGGCTTGGGCTCTCCACCACTGATCCCTGAGTAGCTCAAGAAAGTCCCTCCTCCCTGAGCCTCTGCTTCCTCATCTGTACAATGGGTTTAATTATCGCCGCCTCAGAGGAAACTGTTGCCTGTCTCATGAAACTTTGTGGGGAATCCTCCCAGGGAGGAGGCAGTGCTTCAACCTTTCCTCTCCTCTCCCCACCAGGTTGAGAGGTGTCTGAAGCCCAAACATTTTCAGGGTCAGCTGCCCCTTGCCCAGCCCCAGGCCCAGATAGCATCTTTCTGGAAAGATGTGGTGAAGTGGAGAGCTCAGCACAGCTCAGCACACAGCCTCCAGCCACATTTGGGTCTCATGGGTTCCTGCCCCACCCTATGAGATCCCAGTGCAGGGACAGTACCATCCTTCTCTGGGAGGGGGTTCAGGTCACTCCAGGCTACCCCAGACACTTGAAGCAACATCTCTGGCCTTCGTGCTAGCAGCTCCAGGCAGACCCCTCCCGCATCTCCTCTGTCTAGGTCCCCAGAGGTGCACCTCCAAAAGGCCAGGCTGTAAGACCAAACCCCGGTTCTGGTCCTGCTCACTGAGTATCCCCAGACCCTGCCTGGGACTGGCGAGTCCTGACTGGTCTGGGAGGATCTGAGGGTGATTAACTCCCAACTATGTGTGGACTCTGCGTCCCTACAACCAAGCTTCCAGGAAGCCCACCACGTGCCCCACCTCACAGCACCCTGCATTCAGAGCTCACATCTGGTGGTCACTTTAAGGAGGGGACAGGGAGGACAGGGCCACAACTCATATACACAGTGTTAAGGGCACCAACCAGGATGTACACCTAGAATGCAGTCAGGGGGAGTGTCATGAAATGAGAGAGACCTGAGATAGGAGGCCACGAGGGAACTCACTGGTTGTGTGGGCTTGAGGCAGGAGGTAAAGAAGGAATCTGACAGTGAGGCCGTTTGCTGCGATGGGGAGGCCCAAGGTGGCACGGGGTTAGGGAAGTCAGTCCAGACTGGGCTGGATGCGGCAAGTTTGGGAGGCCACGGGGCCTCCAGGAAGACAGTCAGATGTGGGACATGGGCCAGAGGTCATGTTTCGATTCCTCATCTGAGCACATGCCTGGGCTGCAGGCTCTATCTGTGGTAAGAGGTGTGCAGGAGGCAGCTGATCAATGATTTTCTCTCATCATTGATGTTTCTAACCCTCTCTCCCTCTCCCTTCTTCTCCCTGAAATCAATAAAAACATTTTAAAAGAAATTAAAAGAGGGAGAAATCATTAGACCAGAAGCCTTTACAACCCAGAGTCCTGAGGGTGCTCTCCCTGCCCTCTGTCGGACTGGAGTCCAGGCCAAGGTGCCTTCCTCTGGAGCTGATGGGCCAGAATTAAGGTTGCAGATGTGGGTTTTCCACTCTGGGCAGGATGGGTGGTTCTGGAACGAGCTTCCTTCAGGACTTTCTGAAGTGCCAGTCTCCCTCGAACTCTCCCTGGGGCTCTGTTTGGTGGGCACATCTCTCCTTCTGGTTCGCCAGGCCCCAGAGGGCCCTGGCCTTGGGCCTGGAGGCCACCTCTGCTCCCTGTTATGAACCTCTGCCTCCAGGCAGAGCCACTGCCTTCTTCCAGCATCTCCTCCGGAGGCCCTCAGCCCCTCCAGGGGTGACTGTCACTCAGGCTGAGGGCCCAGCAGGAGGGATAAAGGTGACAATGAATTAGGGGTTTGTGAGGAAAGGTGGTCCACAAAGTGTCTCTGGATGGCTGGAGGGGTCCTTGGGGATCTCTCCTTCCAGTCCAGGGCAACCACTCATAACTCTCTCCCCCTAACACAAACTCATTCCCACTCTCCCAGCCATGTCCCAGTAGGGGTGTGCCCAGTCCCCTATGTAGCTTCCTGGGGACACAGCAGCTCCCTTTGTGATGAATGCAGGTTTGGGGGTGATAGGCCTGCCTTCAAGCCTGGCCACTCCTCACTGCATGTGACTCCCACCTCTGAGCCCCAGTTGGCTCACCTCCACACAGAGGTGGCTTTGTGGGTTGCTGGGGAGCACTGGCCACATGTTTTGGCTGATGGGGTGTTGTACCCACCCCTACCGCCCAGCCTCAGTCTCCCTGTCAATAAGAGAGGGGCGTGATTGCTGGGGTCTGGACCAGTCTCCAGAGCTTTCCTGTGCCCTGGAGATGATGGCGGATTTAGGCTTCCCTGATGGGGGCTCCCTGTGCACACCCCTCCCCAGTGCCCCAGCACCTCCCACACCCAGCCGCAGGAGGCAAACCCTGAGGGTAGCCTGGATGAGCTAAGGTCAGCTGACTAAGAAATGACTCAGTCACGTGGATTTTCCTGGAAAGAGCCAACTGAGGATACCAGGACAGGGGACTCCCGTCCTGGCTGGAAGGAGCAAGTAACCATTGAGTCCAGCCCTCAGCCTGAGGAGAGCAGGGAGACGCGGGTGGGCTCACAGCCCCTCTGAGGGGCAGCGGTGGCTGTCCATTGTTTATTACCCATGCTCAGGAGGGCCTGGCCTGGCCCACAGGGATCGCAACAGTCTGTTGAAGGAGGTGGGAAGAACACCCACCACCATCACCTGTGTGGGCCCTCACTCCCAGCGCTCTGAGTCCATGGTCCACTCCCCACTCCCAGGTGCTCCTACAACTCTGTGCTGTGACTGCCCCTCAAACCTGCCCTGGCCATGCCTTCCCTCCCCTCCAGGGGGCCTCCCTCCCCACACCTCTCTGACACAACCCCCCTCAGGGTGCACATCTTCAGTGTCACAGTCTGCTGTTCCTGTCTGCACCTGGGCGGGCTCTGGACAGGACAGAGCAGAGCAAGACAGTCCCCAGTGTCTGCTGAAAGAAGCCCCAGGGGCAGCCAGGGTGGAGGGTGCCTCTCTGCAGAGGTGAGAGGCCTCCGACTAGGATTCCAGACTAGGACCCTGGGAACAGGGAGTGCTCCCGGGAGAGAAGGGAGGTGTCAGCATCAGCCAAGGCTGGAGGTAGAAGCTGAGCCTGGGGTCTTTGAAAGGTGGGTGGGAGGGAGGAGGCCTTGACTGCAGGCAAGGCAGGTGATGGCTGTGAGACCGTGGTCCCTCTCATAAGCCCCACGAGGTGTGGGGATGGGGCACACATGGACAGGAGCACCGGGAACAGCTGTGGACCTAAGCCCCAGTGTGGGTGTGTGGGGACTGTGCTGGGCTGGGCGGGGGGAGGGACAAATGGCATGTAGAGGAATTTGATGATGGATGTATGGTGGTTTGGTAAATGGGGGGTGGAGCTGAGGCACCGAGGCTGGGCTGCTGTCCTTAGGGCTGGAACCAGGAGTCTGTGGAGCCAGCAGGTACCTCTGGATCCAATCAAGGGGAGATGCCAGGTGGGCCCTGGGCCAGACCTAAAAGGCTCCTCAGCCTCAGTGGGCATTGGCCAGAGCACTGTGGTTTAAGGATTCAGAGGCTCTGGAGTTAGACTTCCTTAATTTCTTCGTGCCTCAGTTTCTCTGTATGTAAAATGGGGGTAATAATAGATTTCATCAGGTCATTGAGAGGGTTCTCTGAGTCTCTCCTCAGCCCAGCAGAGCAACAGCAATTTTGCCTGATAAATCTTCACCTCCATTAGCCTGACCTAAAATTTCCAAGAGGAAATTGAGGCCCGGGCTCCCTATGACAATTCACTCAACCCTCCACTCTGTGCCACATTATCTCCGCCTCTCCCACGCTCCCATTATGGGCCCAGGAATCCCTTTTTGCTCGCTGGGCCCTCCTCCGGCATCTTTCTCCCTCTGCCCTGGCTCCTTCCTATTGGCGTTAAACACAGCCATCCTATCCCTGATATGGCCCTATCCTACCTCCTGGTCTCCACAGTGGCCAGGTGGGATCAGGGAGGGAGAAATTGGGGAGGGAACCTGGCTAAATCCAAAGCTGCCTGTGGCCCAGGGTGGCGCACCTCTAGGGGCGAAGGCAGTGCCCTGGGGTGCTCTGGGGACCTGCCTCTCCTGGCACCCACACTCTGGCCCTATAAACTGCCTAGCCTCTCCTATGCCTCTGCTTGCCCTGAACTCTTAGACCTCCACGTCCTTGCCCCCAGCGCCATCTGCCTGACACCCTTCTCTGTGCCTCTCTCTGCCTGACAGACTCCTACTCCTTTCTCCTTTGTGCATCACCTCCTGTGGGAAGCACCTCCGACGAGATCCACAGCCCTCCAGCCACCACCTTGTTTATAATAACCTCCACCACATTGCGCTCGGCCAACTGGACAAGTGCCCCAGCCTGGGTAAGCCATGGAGGCCTGCACCCCAGCCTGGGTAAGCCATGAGACCTGCACCCCAGCCTGGGTAAGCCATGGAGGGTCCTCGGGGTGTTTGCTGAACTGAGTCAAATGTGGATTCGAGGCCAGGGTGGGAGGGCAGAGCCCCTTCCTGGAGCAGGAGGCTTCACATGGTGGTACGAGGCTGGCCATGCCTCTCAGTTCTCTCCTTAGGCACTTGCCTTCCTGGCAGTTTTTCTTTGCTCTGTTTGTGTGTTTTTTCAATTAAAGAGGATATATGCTCTCTCATATTTCCCTCCCAGTGAAAAACTAATATTTTCACAGCTAAAATAAAAAATAAAATTCCTGGTTGAGGCAATCTACTTTTCTGCTGAAGTGGGGAGGAGGGAACTTTGGCCTTCAGCCTGCCCTCCTCCGGACCATGAGGCTTTGCTGTCCCCTTGTGGCAACTGGGCTTATAAAGCTAGAGCTGAGGACAGTCTGGGTAGGCTTGGAGGAAAGATGTGAAACTGACAGACCTGCAGGGGGAGCCATCAGCCTTCCCAGACTGATGACTGAACACCACTTGGGCAGCAGCCCAGAGCTGTGCTTGGGCCGGGTTGTGCTGGCCGCGGGCAGAGTCTGAGGCTTGGGGTGAGCCCTCATGGGCCAAGCCCATGTTCATCCCAGTCCAACGTGGAGTGGACTGGACTACTCCATAAGCAGGGCAATGAGAGCCCCAGAACATCTGAAAAGGCCCATCTGCCTCTCAAGCATGTCCCCTCCTCCTTCACCCCCACTCCTGCGGTGGGTCCTGCTGGGTGCTGATCTCTCTCCCACACCTCTGATCTTCCCACACCAGGTCTGGGTCTGACCTGACCCCTAACCGCCTCCTGCAGTCATCGGTCACTGACACAGGGCTTGGGCCTGAGGGATGCGGGAGGGAGAGAGATGGAGGGAGAGTGGTAGGCTCCTCCCAGAATTCCCCACCACAGGTCTCCCTTTGTTCCGTGAGTGCTCTCAGCCTCTTTCAGTCTCTAGATCTCTGCGCTGGCTGTTGTTCCCTCTGTCCTCCCTAGTTGCCACGTGGCTGGCACTTTCTTGTCGTTCAGGTTTCAACCTATAGGTCACCTCCGCAGGAAGGCCTTCCCAGACATTCAGTCAAAAGCAGCCTCCCTGGACCCCTTCCATGTCCCCCGCGTCTGTACAGGGCCTGACACAGGCGCGCAGCCAATGTTTACTGTATGTACGAACTGCAAGTCAGGAGAGAAATGCAGTGTCGTCCAGCCTGGATAGTGGACAACCCAGAGGTAGGCAGCGTTTGAGTTGGTCTCTCAAGTAGAAACTTCACCGAGCGAGTCAGGATGGAGGGCATGCGAGGCAGAGGTGACAGCGTGGGGAAAAGTTTAGAGGTAGGAAACTGGTGCGTGGTTCATTTAGGGAGCCTCAGTGCGTCCCTTGGCTGGAGCCTGGAGGGGATCGGTAGCTGTGGGAGTAAGGAAAGAGAAGCACAGGTGGCAGCAGGCCTTTGATGCTTTCCTAAGGAGAAGGACAAGGTCCAGACCCTGAGGATTGGAAAATTAGGAATGAGGCCAACCTGGTTAGATTTGCATTTTCTAAATCTGGTTCCCCAAGAAAACACAGATTGGCAGGGTGTGGGTTCTGGGCCCCATCTGGTGGCAATGAGGCCTGAGGGGCAGGGCGGGGCAGGGGGAGGGTGGGGAAGGTGGCTAAATTATCAGGCAAGAGAGTACCGAAGACCTGAGTCAAACTGAGACACGGGCAACAAAGCAGTTGTTCACAGTGTGGTTTATTTTCACAGATGTATAGAAACTGGCTCAAAACCTGAGGTACAAATGAGCATGTCCCCAACTCCACTCCTGATCTTGTTCAGAAGGAGCAGGGCCTGGCTCCTCTGCTAAAATAAATACACGTCACATTGCACAGTAATAAATAAATGCGTAAATCTTACACCTATGGATGAGGACAGTGGCAGGGGGTGGGGGCATGGGGTGGGGTGGGAACCAGGTGGAGGGGAGATATGGGGGGGAAAAGGAACATATGTAATAATCTGAACAATAAAGATTTATTAATAAAAAAAGAAATAATAAATAAATAAATAAATGCATAATAAATAGCCTCAATAGGATAAAAATGAGAACATAATTGCAACAGGCCACATGGGGCTGCACACTTCAGACATTAGATAAATAACAATTCTTTGGACTTTGCTGGAGAAAATAAAATCCTCTGGTCCTGCGCTGTGTGAGAGACGTCTCAGAGTCTTCAGAGGTTTTGCTGCTTCCTGTAGAGAGAAGGCTCAGAGGGATCTGGATGTCTGACTTAACACACCCACTTTTTAAGGGTGCCCAGATATTCTCTCAGTTTCGTCCTGAAATCTCCCCAGTTCTTGATACTGAACAGGTTTTCCTGTGAAGAAACCGGAAAGGTGGTATTAGATGAGGCTGGGTTGCAAGGCAGATGACAGGCTGAGGGTCCGATCGTGGCTGATGGCACCACTGGCAGGGGTGTCTTCGGGGGCAGCTTACCTTGGACGTGGAGGTGGGCAGGACTGTCTTGAATACCTATGGGAAGAGACCAAAGCAGACCGTCAGAGCCTCGCCTGGGAAAGGAGCAGGCCCTGAAGAGGTTCCCCAGAGGAAGGACAGGGCCGAGGGGGGGAGCCCAAAGCCCTCGACAGCTTCACACACCTCAAGATTTGTCCTGATTTTGTCTCCATCTGTAAAATTATTGGTAGCATTCAGGAATGTATCCAGATTTATCTTCAGAAAGCTATTATTCTAAGGGGACAAAGAATACATGTAAGAGGGGGGACCTTGGGGAGTGTCCTTCCCATGACCAGGCTGAAGTCCTCCCCACAATTTTCCAAGACTTCTTCAGGGACACCCTTGGACAGTGCCCTCCTCATCCCCCTCTCGCCCAGGTTATGCCTCAAAGGACACAGGCCTAGATGTGTGAGCACGGAACAGGCAAGGCCCACTTCCCTCCCACCAGAGCCCCTGTCTCCATGAGAGCTGCATAGAGGGCCCGGGTGGATGCTTCTGCACTTGGGGAGAAAACGTTTTTCAGAAGAAACGCTAAAGAAGGCAAAGCGCTGGCCAAGGGACATTCTTGCAGCGAACAGGGTAAATGCCCAACTGCACTAAGGGCGCTGAGGAATCAGGAAGAAAATCCAGCCCCCCGCCCCCCCCCCCCCATGGAAATGGGCGCAGCATGCGAACTGTGAGTGCCTAGAGGGGAGCTGCAGGCGGCCGATAAACTCAGCAGAGGTTTGACTCCCACCCCCACCCCCCGTGCACACAAGATGACATAGTTTCCATTTAGGAGAAATAATTGTGAATGATAATACCCAGGGCTGGTCAGCGTGGAAAACAGAATTCAGTTTTTTAAAGAAAAGAAAAGAAGCAGGCATGTTCCGGGGGGGGGGGGGGGGGTCAATCTGCCAGTCCAGAGGCTGCCCCCTGAAAGCTGAGCTTACAGCCTATGGTATTATTCACCTACAGCTGCCTTTTCATTTTGTAATAAAAACAAAACATGTTCGTATTATAGCCATGGCTGCGGAAATGTCCTGGACACCTGACCTGGGCACTTTATGCACAGTGGGCCATTTAACTCACAACCACCCCACCGAGCTAGGTGCTGCTAACCCTATTTACAGATGAAAAACTGAGGTCACCCAGGCAGGGGGTGCAACCAAGTGTGGGGCTGAGCTCTTACCTTCAGGATGAATTGTTCATTTAAGCTCAAGGGTTCCTGTGGGGGAGAGAGAAAGCGAGCCCATGAGTCCCGTTGGCCTGAGCACTGCCAGCCCTTCCCTGCCCCATGCCAACCTGTCCCGGCTACTCACTTCTGAAGGCACAGGCGGCTTTTTCAGGATGTTCTCGATTTCGCTGAGCAGTTCCCGGCAAGTCGTTAAGGGCCGCCCCTGTGCCCGAGGAGCGTGGAGTGCGAGCAGGAGCAGGAAAAGGGGCAGGACGGGGAGGCTGCTCATCTTTGGGCTGGCAGGCCGCATTCTGTCTTGTCCTGGTCCTTCGTGCTGTTCTGAAGTGTTGGAGGCAGCTGCTGCCTTTTATGCGCAGCAGCAACGTGCCAACCACGGTGGTGAAGGGGCGGTATTCGGAAGAATCTTTTATCTTAGATGGAACCTAGTCAAACCACAGACTTATTCGTCACTTTCTAGTACTTGAGATGAGTGAAACTTGGAAAAAATTTACTGGAAGAGTATCTCCTCATCTTGTCAAGGAGATGAAGAGATTGACTGAGTGGGAGCAGGTGATGGACCTATCTGAGCGGTCAGGGGCATCTGACTCTGACCTTCCTACGCAGCCATCCCCTGGACAGCCCTGACCCTCTGCTGCCCACCCCCCTGGCATGATGGCCTGGTCCTGCATGAGGATCAGCCCGGCAACCTGTCACACAGCTAACCATCCACCTGTGAGCTTGTCCCCTGAGAAGCGCCTTTGACCCCCCTCCCAGCGCGGAGTGACTGCGGTGAAAGCCCTCCGGGGTCTGCCTCATGGGCCGTGGGCAGCTTCTCCTTGACACTTTCTGGGTGGCAGGTGGGACTCAGGCACCAGACACCCATTCTTTTATGGCCGTGGTCGGCAAACCGCGGCTCTCGAGCCACATGCGGCTCTTTGGCCCCTTGAGTGTGGCTCTTCCACAAAATACCACGTGCGGGTGCGCACGTACAGTGCGATCGAAACTTTGTGGCCCATGCGCAGAAGTCGGTTTTCGGCCTGGGCGAGTCTATTTTGAAGAAGTGGCATTAGAAGAAGTGGGGGTGTCGGTCGGTCGGTCGCTTGGGCGACCGGAGACGGGATACGCAGCTCGGGGGAGGCGCGCACGATTCATGCACGAGTTGAGTGAGCCAGTCAGTCAGCAGTCTCATTGTGCAGTGGTTAGTGCTAGTCGTGTCCGCAAATCACGCGCGGGTGACAAAAGATAGACGAAACAAGTATATACAAGACGAGTGTGGATGGGAGAGTTGGAAGGGGTCAACCTCAGTGAACGTACAGATTGAGGATGTTTTTAGCAAAGGCCAGCTTAGGAGTACCCTAATTAAGTTAATAACAAGGTACTACCTATATATAGTTTAAGTTTAAAAATTTAGGCTCTCAAAAGAAATTCAGTTGTTGTACTGTTGATATTTGGCTCTGTTGACTAATGAGTGTGCCAACCACTGTTTTATGGGTCTGATAACAGCACAGCACAACTTTGCCCTGTGTTGTGGGACCTCAGTCCCTCCTGGAGGGCTGGCTGCAGGTGCCTGGCGTTCCCCCTGATAGTACAGAGGAGCTTGGCTTCAGGGGCTTGAGGGTAGGGATCCTGAAGAAACTGTCACGGGGGAGAGGGCTGGCCTGGGGAGGTTTAGATAGTGGGATGGTAAGATCTGAGGGTGAGGGAAGGGAAGAGAGGAGGGCAACTCCCTGGTTTCAGGCGGGTGTTGGGAGCAGTGACCACAGGAGAGAGTAGTGTTGGGGGTCTGGGTCGACAGTCTCTGCTGGAGCCTGGGTTTGGCAGATGCAAGCCCAATGGGAAGGGTTTGCAGAGCAGGGAAGAGGGCAGGGACTGACCCTGGGGGAGGTTACAAAGGACCAAAGAAACAGCAGCCAGAGAGGAAATAGGAAAACCTGGTGGGTGGGGGCCCCTGCCCCTTGGGGCTGTCAGGCCCTGACAAAGATCCAGGGCAGGGGGGTGGTAAAGGGGTGCGGGTGACAGGGATGTGGGGAAGAGTTCTGTGAGATGACTAGGCCTGGCTGAGGGTAAGAAGAGAGTAAGGATGGAAAAGTCAGGGGTCAGGAGGGGCTGTGACGCAATCAGCGTGGGGAGATGAGGGCAGGTTATGCTGAGGAAGGGGAATTTGGGTGTTCAGGGCTTCTGGGCAGGAGCTCATCTGGTAAGACAACGATCAGCTTGTGGCCGCAGAGGGGCAAGTGAAGAGGCTGGGATACAGGGCAGTGCCCTGAGAACAATGCCTCTAGCCCAGCGGTTCTCAACCTCTGGCCCTTTAAATACAGTTCCTGAAGTTGTGACCCAACCATAAAATCATTTTCGTTGCTACTTCATAACTGTAATGTTGCTACTGCTATGAATCATAATGTAAATATCTGATATGCAGGATGGTCTTAGGTGACCCCTGTGAAAGGGTCGTTCGACCGCCAAAGGGGTCGCGACCCACAGGTTGAGAACCGCTGCTCTAGCCGAATACACAGCTACTAACTCAGCACGGGCCAGGCCCTGGGCTCCAAGATCTGGACCCAGAGCATCCTCAAAAGCAAGTGGAGCATCTCCAAGGCATGGGTAAAATGAGGCCACACGTGGGGAGCCTTAGGACTAGGTACCCTCTAAGGCACAATTCATTCAACAAAACGTTTTTTAAAAATATTTTTATTGATTTCAGAGAGGAATGGAGAGAGAGAAATATCAATGATGAGAGAGAATCGTTGATCAGCTGCCTCTTGCACATCCCCCACTGGGGATCGAGCCCACAACCCAGGCATGTGCCCTGACTGGAAATCCACCCGTGACCTCTTGGTTCATAGGTCAACGCTCAAGCACTGAGCCACACCGGCCAGGCTCAACAAACCTTTATAAGCACTTGCTGTGTGCAGGCACCGTGAGTGAAACAGACACGCCCCTCCGCTTAGGAAACACAGTCTTGTGGGGAGAGAGACCACAGACCTCTCTACTCCTGGCTGGGATCTCAGACCTGAGGTCTTAGCCAGGCTTTCTGATGAAAAATTGCATTTTCACAAGGTGGTCACAGGACATTTAGGACGTTCTGATTGAAAAACTCAGCTTGGGCAGTTGGAGGTCTGGGCCCCAGAGGCATAGGGCTTGTTGACTACTCAACTGTGGCTCGTTGTTACCTTCTATGTAAAAGTTTTGGGGATCTGTGCACATGCGCGTGCATCCCACACACACGCGCGCACACACACACACACACACACACGCACACATGCACACACACACAAAGTGATTTCTTATAGAAAAAAATCCTCTTTTTTTTTTTTAAATAGGCTTTTTGAGGGAATTTTAAAACCCAGTGAGTTTTGAAGTGATGAAGGCTGAATGTGCCTGCAAATGTTTCTTCAGAAGTCCTGACCTGGTGCTGTATTGTAGCAGAGAGAAATCCTGCCTAGTGCTACTATAGATCTTGATGTTTGTAGGAGAAGGAAGTTTAGACTTCAGGCTAGGAGCACTGGAAACACTGGAGTTTTCAGCCAGGGAGGAGTGTAGTCCCTTGAAGGTTTGGGTCCAGGAAGCCCAGTCTCACTACTCGGGGAGAAAGGTTGGGAAGAGGCAGAACAGCAGGGTGGCCAGTGAGGGACGGGGGAGTTGTCTGGGCCATAGATGGTAAGAAGGCTGAACTAGGTTGGTCCTGGGGGGGGATGGAGAGCTAGATGAAGGTAAAGACTCTAGTAGCTAGAGTGGCACTTAGTAAAGGTCAGGCACTCAGTTCTTTTCATGGGTTAATTCATTTAATCCTCCTAATGAGCCTGTGAGGCAGGTACTATTATTATCCCCATTTTACATATGAGAAAACTGAGGTTCAGGGAGGCCTCGTCCAGAGGTCACAGACTTGCCCAACCCTTGGGAGAGGCCTGGCCCTCTGCATGAAAGTGATTTAACAGCGGGTGGCAGGGGCGGTGGAGGTGGCGGTGGTGACAGCGGCGGCAGCAGCAGCAGTTGTGTCAGCCCAGCCCAGAGAGAACATCCTTGCAGACTGGGCTGATTGCAATCAGGAAGGAAAATGAGCTGAGGGTGCCCAGCCCTGGGCAGGCATGAGAGAGGCCCTGCTAGGCTGGGTCAGGAAAGCCCACCCAGCACTGCTGCCTGGGTCTGTAGGAAAGAGACCCTGTGGGTCCCAGGGTGCGTCTCTGGACCCCGTCCGATGGACCTCTGCAGGCCTGGCTCTGTCCCACCCGTGGCCTGGAATGGCTCAGAGTGGGACACAATATCCAAGGTCCTGGTCCTCGGGGCCCCTTCCAATCGGAGGTCCATGCCGGCTCTCCCCCACAGGCCTGGCAGAATTTTCTGGGGTGCCCACCACCGGCAGAGACCCAGGCCTCAGTCATCATGACCAGCTTCCCTGCCACCCTCTCCATGGCGTCATGTGTCAGATTTAGTCTCCCCATGATCTGTCATGCTTCCGCTGGTGGCCCTGACCACACTGCCTGGCTTTGTCAGTGCAGAAGGCAGCTCAGGACTCCTAGCCAGCCAGACAGTGCCATTAGGTGTCACATGTGCACCTAGAGAGCTCAGGAAAAAGCCACCTTGGTGGGCCCAGATGAAGAGGCCTGGCTTCCTGTTCCATCAGCTCTGTCCTCCTTCCTAGGGCCTGTACAGCCTCAGCCTGTGCACCCTCAGCTTTCCATCCCATGCTGCAGGGATGTGGCCTCCTTGGGGCTGGGAGAGTGGAGCTCCTCCCTAAGTCCAGTCTAATAGGGAAGACAGATGGAGAGTCACAGTATAGAATGGTAAGCCTGGGGGAGGGGGTGCCCAGAAAGGAAATCAATAGTCAGCCAGGACTATCGGGGAAGACTGGAAGAAGGGGCAGCTCAGACCTGGAGGATGGTCTGGAGCCAGGAATGTCACAGAGGAAGTGCTCCCAAGCAGAGTTGGGTTTTGGGATACAATGTTCTGTCTGTTGATCTCCAGCCTACTGATCACAGCTCTGATACTGGGGTAAACGGAGGCAGCCACGTTACTCTTAATGTTATTAATAAATGTATGGGCATATGGTGCCCATCACCCTCTTGATGCCCACCTGGAGCACAAAGATTTGGGACATGCATTCCTATTGTGTTCATTGTCATTTATCTCAGACAAAACCAAGAGCCACAGGAGGGACAGGCAAAGAGCTGCCTGAAAACTGAAATGACAATGTTTGGACTTAAATGCTAGTAACACAGTGTTCTAGGCTCTTAAGGAATACTCTTCAAAGTGGTTGAGACTTCACACAGATTATTACTAGCAGCCATGGAGATGATGTTGCCAAGTAGAATC